ACTACCCGAAGGGCGACTACAAGCACGGTGACTACCCCAAGGGAGATTACCCCAAAAAAGATTACAAGCACGGCGACTACCCCGTATGGTAGATCCAGGACGGTACGTCTTAACCCTGATGGAGGTCGTCGGTCTTCTTGTTATAGGCAAGATACTGGACGAACTCCTTTGCATGTTGAATCACATTGAATGTCTGGAGTCTCAACGCTCAGCCAAAGTCTGGTGGCAAGGACGGACGCGTTCGTGGGGCTATTGCGTATGGTCTGGAACGTTTGTTGGCGACTTTCAAAGGCACTACTGTAGTGCTCAACGTAGCTAGCAAAAATATGCGCTTTCATAAATGTCTGAGTAAAACCCTTTTTTTCAACCCTCTCACTTTTTTTTCATTTGGCAAGTATGAAGTGCATGCATGCATGCGTATCAGCATTCACTTTCCTTAATATCCGGCAGCATATCGATATCCTTTCCAGTCTCTCGGTGCTTCAAAGTTATTTGCTTTGAGCACCCCCATAAGATGTTTGCAAGATCCGTCCTGTGGTCGATTTTGTTGAGCGTGCGTTAGATAGTGTCGTGCTTTCGGCCCGTCTCCACTTCGATACGCTTCGAGTGCGCTGCCAACAGCCTCAAGAAAAGCTAGTTTAAGACCTTCGCGGATTTACAAATATTCAGGATCTCAATACCCATGCACATGATATTGGTATTCTTGTAATAGTCCAACCTGCAGACACACCAGTTAGTAAACTAAGCACAATGACCTCTAAATTACACCACACGAACACTTCAAACCCTCCGCTCAGTACGATATTGCTATGCGCGCTGGTTTGGCTTCTGCAGTCGATGAAAAGTAGTTTCCCTTTACATTCTCGGCGAAGTGCGACCATGTCAGGCGATACTTTAGTGTGGGTGGTCAGTCTCTTTTTGGGAGCATGCTTAGAATTAACTAAAGTCGGTATAGATAGGTACAATTTCTGTTCTAGAACTGTCCTAAATGTCCCTCAAATGTCCAACATTTTGATTTGAGTTTACTATAAAAAGGTGAGAGAGCGTACCAATCCGTGTCCGCGAAGCAGGGCCGCGCGGTATGTGTGCAAGCGGGCCCAGCACCGAGCCCCACAGCGAGCAGGGCATTGCATAGGCCAGGTGAGAGAATCGACATTTAGGCAGCGAACCCGACATTAGTGTATCGTGTCGAAAATCTGAGGAAGGTAGTTCAGTAGGATTGTGTTCGTTGCATGCACTAGAATTAACTAACGAGATGTTGAAAACCGTGTTTACAGCTATTATCGGCATGTGCTAAAATCTTCAAAGTTTTCTTCCTTGAGATTTTTTTTACTTTATATATATTGCTTTATAAATATGACCACGGTGACTGTTCTTCATTGCAGACAACACTTTCACAAAACCACCACAATGCTGTCTTCCTTCCAATTCAGTGGTGGGCCACCAGCAGCAACCCACCACTTTTTCCACTAGATTGGAGTCAATATCACTCTAAGGAATACATCGGGCAGAGACGAAGTGAAATCCAGAAATCTGTGGACTATGGACTCAAGCGAGACTTGCAAATTAAAGTCTGGGGATCTGGGAGATCTGGAGCGGGAGGGGGGTCCTTCAACAACTGTAATAACACATTGGTTAGGCTGTTCAGCCCCATCTCCTGCGCCTGCTTCGAAGCCGCAGCATCTACCCATCATCCGTGCAATTGATGCAGTAGCGGTTGAGAGTGACAAAAGTATCCACGCATCCTGCGTCTGATCTGAAGATGCATTTTACGCCGCTATTATAGGCCATACGCCTCGTGTGCAGCCTTTATTTGCATGTTCTACTCGCCCGTGAATGCGCTATTACTAGAACTGGGAATCACGAAGTTGTGTTTGCTCCCCTTGCGCTACATTCACGTTTACCATTATTCGCAAAAAGTGAGATTTTCGCGAATTATGGGTGTGTAGCTTGGATATCTGTGATATATACGGTACAACACTATATGCAGCGAACAATTGAGTTTTCGCAATAAAAGCGCATAATTAGTCTAAGCCGCGCTATTTTCGGATCTAACTGTGTCGATTTGAGTGCAACTGATTCGCAGACGCCGGCTCGGTAACCAATTCCACCTGGAGCTTTATGTTATCGTCAGTTATCGTCAGATCGTACTTGTCTCAACTTTGACCTGGTGATTTGCCACTGTGATCGAGATTTATTGGAAATAACAAGTGAAGTGCGAAATATTAGCGTCTCCATTCTACAAAACTTATTTTTCAAGATAATTATAACGAATTCGTGTTTAACTCGAATTTTCACGAAACTGTGCATCATACGCAAAGACAGACTTTTTGCGACGGTTATCTATTGGCTAATGTATTACCGTGCGTAGATGTAGAGGGTTCAAACTGCAAGCATAAGATTATGTACCAGGGTTTCGTTTTGTTGAATATAATTTCTTTTTATTATACTGGGAGGACAGCTTTAGCCGGTTTGACAAAGGATGTTACTTTAGCTCTTAAATAGGGGATACACTTTGCTATATATTGGAGCTTATTTTGAAGCCTGTACTCCTCGGCGGCATGCGGAACGAGTTCGGCATTTAGCAATTCTGACTCATAATTGTAGTATTACAGTATTAGGCGGTGTTTGGATCCAAAAATAAATCACGATTTAAGGCCTCAAATCGCGATTATTGGCTTATCGTGATTTTTCGAAAAATTGTGTTTCCAAACAGGACAGCGATCTTCAGAATCAAAGTGGAATCTGTAAATCGCAATCTTGGGGCAAACATGGCGCCTCCAAACACCGCACAAAAGATCCTGATTTAGGCAAAAGATCGCGATTTCAAACTTTCTACTCTGACCAGAAAGTTTTTATCGCGATCTTCCCTCGTGGGGGCGCCTAAACATGGCGTCTGAGGTCATGACGCTGCAAGCGCAAGCAGGGAAGAGAGCTGACAGCGGCTTCAAGAAGGAAGCGTGGACCGAAGCACTCGCTGCATTCAACAACCGTTTCCAGACGAAGCTGTCGAGGCAACAGATCAAGTCCAGACTGACAGCGGTACGTAAATCGCTCACAGTATATTTGTGCAGGCTCTAACTAATATACATTTGTTTGATTACAGCTGAAAGGCATCTATACGTCGATCAAGGCGATGCTGGACGCGTCAGGATTTGGCTGGGATGATGAACGTCATGTCGTGCTAGTGCATGACTCCGTTTGGGATGATTATGTCAAGGTACAGCTATTGCACACTACAAGCATTGACAAACTGTATTACCCAGGATTAAAAATTCGATCTTTTTACGATCGCTTCAAATGAAATACCTGCACCGTTTTGATGACCAGCAACAGAGATAGTAACTGCTATAGCCTTTAGCTGGCTTACGACTACAAGTCAGTCCACTTTAAGCGGCTACAGAATTTTGTTACTATAGTGCATCGGATGTATGGCCGTGGTCTTTTCGGAGTGTCAAGCGAAGGGTTGCACTTGAAGCATACCCTCTTAAATGAATCTTATCAATGAACGATTTCTTTTTACATGTATTACTGTGTTTTGCAGGCTTTTGGCACTTTCGATTGTAAATCGTACGACTGATCAAGCACTATACTAATTATCTATAAATCGTACTTGAATACGATTTAGTACAAATCATGCATCATCTTTCCGGCACCTAGTAGTGCGACCAAGCATTTAATGCATGACTTATTAAAGCACATCAAATGTGAATAAGCATCAGTTTGGCACTTTCAAAAAGTGCTGAAAACACGATTTGAGCAACTCCCAAACAAAAACCGTCCATGATTTAACACTAATTAGCTGAGCAAACTGAATGCAAAGCACAATGCATGTCATGTATCATTGCTGGTTAAATCTTGGAGATTTTTCGTGCAAGGCAAGACTCCAACCGAAATATTATTTATTACGGCGTGATCAAGTTCTTTTCACTCCACCTCAGTCCACGAATTCTCCTTGACGCCGTGGCGAGTATTATAGGGCACAGTGCCTTCGCCTCGCCTTGAATCTGTACGCACGGCACCGCCGATCATCTGATTCATTTCGCTGGTTGGCAATGAGTGTCTCGCTTTCGCTTGTGGCTGGATGGGTTGTTGCTTTCTGATAAGGGCACACTACACTGAGTACGCGTTTGCCGGTTTCTGGTGCTGAACTTATCGATTGGCCGAGAACCACTTCAACTTGGGAGAAAGCATTCTAAGGTACCAGTTTTCATTCTACTGAGTCAAGTAGGCGTCGCCCATGACTGCCAACGCGGATGCCAGCTCTTCCGGCGCGTCGGGGCTCATCCCAGCACGTGTGAACTCGTACAGTGTGCGCTTGTCGCTTTTTGCAGCGCGTTGTGCCAGGTTTGACAAGTATTCACCAGTCCGACTTGACAACGCTAATTGAGAAATGCCATCAACAGACGAGCTCTGCAGTGCACGGATGCGGTACGTTTCTGGTAGTTTAAGAGGAGACGTATCAGACCAGCACAGTGCGACGTCACGGGGCGATACCGGAAAAGAATCCAAGGCGGAACGCATTGACGAGTTGCAACTGAAAGATCCGCGGAAGTGCAGACGTCGGTAGGATGTCTTGTTGCTGTAACTTTCGTTGAGACCACTGGTAGTTTGTTGGATGGCAGGAAGCAACGAGTAGTTCTGGAACGGGTCTTCTGTCAGGTTGTTGCGGCCAACTTCCTCACTAACGCTTTTGCTAATGTGTTGCAACAAAAGCGTTGGATCCGAAGCGTATGGGAACGTTGCAGCCAGCTCGGCGACCTTCATATTGAATTGAAATCCCTCCAATATTTCATAGGCAGGTCGTCCTCGATATGCTGACAACGCGAGCTCCAATGCAGTGGCAACAATTGTCCCTACATCACCACAGCTCGACCGGTTTAGAGCAAGTTGGGGGAACCTTGAGCCTGGCAATGAACCCGAAGACATCGCGACCGGCACAAGCAAATGTGAAACTTCAGACAGCAGCGCCATGGATGAGGCCACGTTGATTCGCTTCCTGCCCTCAATTTTCGAGCGATCTCGGACGTTTTGCTCAGCACGGAACACGGCGTCTTGGTCGTCGGTAGCCATCGGATAGCTCCAGTCGTTGCCAACTACCATGATCACTGCACCTGGACACTCCTCAGCGACGTATGTCATCATCTCATGAGCCAGTCCTCCCCATGACGAGTCCATATCCACAAGACCTTGCACCAGCCTCAACTGGTCACACGCTTCCAATACAGTTCGCACTCGATCTTCTGCATTTTCCAACGTCACGTTGCCGATGTTTCCTCCGTTAGAAACGGCGTGACCTTCATAGAAATTGTGCAACGGCATGTGTGGACGGAATTCATCCACCTCCACAAGGTTGTGCTCATTGAGTTTGCCCCAGGTCCACAGTCCATCGTTGCTTGATTCACTCACTGGTTCCGCCCCCGATTGGTCGTACACTTGCACATTGCCACCCCTACAAAGTATGGGAAATGTTGCAAAAAGTTTAGCTCACACAATCTGTAGAAAATATTTGCATCCATTTTTGGCAAAATGGTTGGCAATTGTGCATTTATCTTTTCCTACCATAGTGCAGAATCTTCCTGTTGCTTTGGCGTAATTCGGATCTGTCTCCTAACGCGCCCTTTGGCTTCGAAGGCCAGTACGTGTGGCGTCTTGGCAGCTCCATTGGCTTGTTGCAACGCCAGCCACTGCGTGCCGATCGTCGTGGCGGCCGTGCCGAACTGCAGGCGAAGCGTCTCGTCCTCCATCACAAGACGATGTGAAAACCGTATGTGGTGTACAGCACACAATGAAAAACCCAGGAATCATTTTTTGCGAAAAGTCTGGTGCCCGACCCTATCCGGCCTCAACATTATATTTGCATGCCTACGCCTGCGCGACATCTAAGTGAGCTCCAGGTGAGAAGAGCACCCTCGTGCGTGATGTCGTTGTTCGCTGTAAGTCCAGCCCCACGGACAGCACAAACGGCGTCGCTATTGGTGACGAATCTCTGACAGTGTTGGTTTCGGTGTAAACAGGAGCAGCTAGGTGCATCCTCGCACACATCTAATCGTCAGTTTGCCATGAAGACATTGTTCTAAGAGCTAAGAGCTCCGAAATATAACTAGCTGCACGTCATTGCGACTTCACGATGTGGCAATCGGAAATGGAGTTAAAGTCTTTTGCAGCGTTATCGGAAAGCATATCCGCGAACGCTCTGGAATGTGAACCCTGCACTAATAGTTTGTGGTGGGGCATTTGCAACGAGTTAATCGGTTGTCACGTTGCCATTTGAGGACAGGCGGTGAGGCACAATGACCTTTTGGTGTTTCCTGATTTCCATCGTCGAAGATTTTCGCATCCATGGATCCGCTGCTGTACGAGCTCTTGCCCTTGCCTCTCACGAACAATTTTTTTTTCCAGCTCGATCGATATCCTCATTCCCCAATTTGCCACATCAACTCAACCTCTTGAGTACCAGTTACAGTCTTCGCATCCCTCAGTTCTAGACCCATGGTTCGTGTTCTCAAGCCTTTCAGCGCGGTCATCGCGACTGTGCTTTCTCTCGGTCTTGCTACCGCCGACACCGCCACCGTGTCGGTCCTTGGTGATGCCACCTACACGATCCCGTCGTCTCGCGGAGAAGTCTGCAAGGGTACCGGTGCGTACCCGAGTGGAACGGCTTGTCCTCTGAAGGGTGACGAAGCCAGCGACGGCTGCAGTGAAGGAGTTCCATCGTACACGTACGGCAAGTGCGTTGCCCCCAAGGATGCTCAGTGTGTGCTGGTCTCGGACGATACGTGGGGCTGTGCCTACCCGGAAAAGGACACCGAGGCTCCGTGTGCGAGCACAGAGCAGAGCTCCTATGGTGAGACTGAGACGCCCTACGAGTCCGCTCCATCTGCTTCTGGATACGGCGAAGTGACCTACCCGGCCGAAGAGACGTACCCGAAGGAGGACGAGGTGACGTTCCCGTACGAAAGCACGCCCTGCCCGAGCCTTCCTTACAGTGATGACACTGAAGAAGGTTATCCAGTGGAGGACACACCGTATCCGACTCAGCCTCACAGTTATGGCACTGGAGAGGGTGCTTATCCGGCGGAGACTACCCCGTATCCGACTCACGGCAACAGTGGAGAGGAAGCCTACCCAACGAAGGACACGCCATGCCCGAGTCTGCCATACACCTACGACACTGAAGAGGCCGGTTATCCGACCGAGGCCACTCCGTACCCGACTAACGCCCCCGGTTACCCGACCGAGGCCACTCCGTACCCGACTAACGCTCCCAGTTACCCGACTGAGACCGCCCAGTACCCGACTCACCCTCCCAGCTACACGGCTGGAGAGGGTGCCTACCCGACGGAGGCCACCCCGTGCCCGACCCTGACTTACAACTATCACACTGAACAGGGTGCCTACCCGGAGGCTACGCCGTACCAAACGCACGCTCCGAGTTACCCAGCGGAGGCCACACCCTACGCGACCCAGCCTCCCAGCTACAATGCTGGCGAAGGTAGTTATCCAACCAAGGACACACCATGCCCGACTCTGCCTTACACTTACAACGCTGGAGAGGGTGGTTACCCAACGCAGACCGCCCCATACCCGACTCCGGCTCCCACCTACAACTCCGGCGGCAATGGAGACTACCCACAGAGTGGCGACTACCCCAAGAAAGACTACCCGACGGGAGACTACCCACAGAGTGGCGACTACCCGACGGGAGACTACCCCAAGG